CAGAAAAATACCATTTCAGGGCTAAATTGAAATGTAAAATTATTTTGGGGCTAGAAATGAATATAATATTTAGGGTAAAATTCACTTTGCACTCCTATACTATGTGAAAAGGTATCATATACTCCCTGATGTATAGAAAACACCCCATAATTTTAACGGTCAATGGTAAGACTTTTAACGGTGTTAAATTTGAGTGTGCAAGGCGTATTTTTTTGTGGATTGTTGACGATTTTTAGCGTTCGTTCAAATTATGGTTTTTTGTCGATTTTGGTATTTGATTTTAGGTATTTTCAGTTTTCTTTCTCGGGGATTTTCTTTCATATGGTTTTATTCCAAGTTTAGGATTTCTTTTGGATTTCAGGGCTTTTAATTATCTTTTTTGTGGGTTTTACGTTCATAATATGCAAAGCTTCAATATTATTTATTCGACTTTTTCCAAATTTTTTTATAAGAAAAATGGCTGAAAATAGTAAAAAAAAATAAAGTGGAAGAAAAGGGTGAAAAAATGAAGAATCTGGTGAACATTCATCAAAACTAAGCAACCTTTTTATAGAAATATTTTAGGGTATTTTCGTCAAAAAAACCAACATTTCTTTGCAATAGACGGTCAAAGGATTTGACTAACGGAAACTAGGAAAAAGGCTAACCGCATAGGGTGTTTGATGTTTTCTATACTTCAGGGGGGAATAATACATTTCACATAGTACGTGGTGTAAAATGAATTTTACCCTAATTTTTATTTTTATTTTTGTTATATGTTTTTAGAGTGAATTTGCAAACACTACCCCTATAAAAAAAATTAAGGGTTAAATACAAACATACCTTGTACTATCCACCTTGTATCATATACCCCTTGTACTACATTAATACAAAAGACCCCATATTATTATATTTTTTCCAAAATTTGACGAAAATACCCATCCTAAGCCGTATAAATATAAGATTTCGTTTGAGCCATTTTCCACTATATTTTTTAAAATTTTCGGTCAATTTTACTTGGGAAATTTTGATATTTTTATATTTTTCTCCAAAACATTTAATTACTTAGATTTTTTTTTTTTTTCTTAATAAAACCTTTTATTTTTGTCATTTTGAATTGCTTCATTTTTTTCTTAAATGTCTTCCGGTAGTTCAAATTCTCAACAATCATAGGATTGTAAAGATGTTTGTAATCTTAGGATGTTTGAACTACCGGCAGACATTTAAGAAAAAAAATGAAGAAACTCAAAATGACAAAAATGAAAGGTTTTATTCAGAAAATTAAAAAAATCTAAAATAAAATTATCTATTTTCAAAAACTTTCCCAAAGAAAAACTCAAATATTTCTCTCTCTATTAAACATGATTTGACTGCTACAGTGAAAATTGTCATCACTAAAATACAAATTAAAATCACTTTATCTATCAAATTCTTCTTAAAAAATACTTTTTTCCATCACCTACCAGATATGATTTGACTTGATACAGTACAAATTGTCTACTCTCAAAACACAAACAAACTTTGTTTTATTTTCAAATTGTTCTCCCAAAATATCTTAAAATGGAAATGGAAGCCCAAAAACTTACCAAACATAGCCTAAGCAATTAGATGTTTTGGAGAAAAAAATATTTATACCAAAATTTCCCACGTAGTATATATATATATATATATATATATATATATATATATATATATATATATATATATATATATATATATATATATATATATATATATATATATATATATATATATATATATATATATGCTTGAGTAGGGGTACTTTCGTCATATTTTGGAAAAAATGTAATGTGAAGGGGGTTTTTGTATTTATGTGTAATATAAGAGGTATATGATACTTAGTTTATAGTACAATGGTGTTTTTGTATTTAACCCAAAAATTAATTGTATTTGTTTTTAGGGGCTATATGCCAAACACCCTCCATTGAAAATTTAATTCTTGAAAAATCCTTTATTTGTAAATGATATTTGACATAAATCCAATGGGCCTGAAAAACCATATATGCCCCCACTAATTATTAATTAGTATAATTATTCAAATTAAAAAAAAAATTATCACAATCTACCCAAATCTTCTCCAAAAATCATACCCCAAAATCACGCTACAGATTTATGCCCAGATTAATGCTCCCAAATCAATTCTAAAAATATCATTGTTATTTATTTTCTTATTTTCGATTTCTTCATAAAAAAATTTGATTTTTTTTCAAAAAAAAGTTTCATTTTTCGATTTTTTTTTTTAATTTTGGTTTTTTAATTTTTTATACTTCTGTTTTTTTAAATTTAAGTTAAAAAAAAATGTTTTCAACAAATTGAAAATCAATATAAACTTATCAAAAACCACTACGTGATTATAGTATTCCATCACGAAAATTCATTATAAACTTCTCGAAAATCTCTATGTAATCAACAAAAACCACTAATTAATGAAGTCACTATGTAAATTAACGAAAATCACTATGTAATTAGCAAATTCCATTACAAAAAATCACTAAAACTTATCAAATTAACAAAAAGCACTCTATAATTAATGAAAACCACCCTATAATTAACGAAAATCGTTATGTAATTAACAAATTTCATTACAAAAATTCACTAAAAACTTATGATTAACGAAAACGACTATGGAAGTAATGAAAACCACTATGCGTGCAAAAACCACTCTGTTTGCGAAAACCACTCTGTATGCGAAAACCACTCTGCGTGCAAAAACCACCATGCGTGCAAAAACCACTCTTACATTGAAGTGGGTCATGTACATATAAAGTAGTCCTCCCCATACTTGACGAAACATGAACCAGGGTTGGACAGGTATGTATTTTCAAACCCAATTCTTACCCAATAGAAGAGTCCATCTCTCATACAGATGAGATGAAATACAACAATAAACATCAACAATTGATAGAGGAGAGGAATAGACGTCAGATCAGATTACGGACGAAGATGTGGATCTCGGTTGTCCCCGGTCTATCGCGAATTTGAAAAGATATTGTCATCCATGGAAGCAAGAAGCACATGGAGACTAATTACGACTAATTTAATGCTCTATCATTAGCGACTAATTTTATGATTGGAACGAATTACGACGAATTTAGGGCTGTTTTTATTAAATTTACGAACAAAAAAAGAAGAAGATAAACTATGTTTTCCATTCGATCTTGGTCTTCAATGGAGTAGTGACGGCGTCTAGAGTCGTCCTGGGCGGATGGCTGTGAGAAGAAACTGGCAATGGTGTCGGAGCCTTGCCCTGGAGCTTCGTGTCCATGGCAGATGCAGAAGTTTGGGAGGGGGAGGGGGGGAGGCGGGTTTGGGGTTGGTTTTTTCTTTTCCCATTTATTATGTTTATTAAATATATTCTGCAGTGCTAATATTTTTTTAATTAATGTTAAGTGTTAAATAATTTGCTAAGGCAATTAAAAATACTTAAATATTGAATAAAATATTTTAATAGGTAATTTTTAGTGTAGGATTTAGCAAATCTCAATAGGAAAAGATATTATAATTTTTTTTTATTTCCAATCCTAAAACATACGTTACTTTTAGGTTGGGGGTATAATTGTGATAATTTATTACTTTTTATTAATAAATACTGAAATAGATTTATCTCAAAAAGTTGTAAAAAAATTGGATCCATTGTAATTAGACTTGTGTGATGGGGGGCTTTTGACAAATAATCCCTTGTTTTTATCTGTTTTTAGCAATTCAAAGATCATAATTTTTTTTTATAATATTAAATATAAATTCAAAACATTGAATAATATTTCAATTTTAACAAATAAAATGCAAAAAAATATACATTAAATATAAAGTCATGAGAAAAAAAGAAATTGAATAATAGTTCAATTTTAACAAACAAAACACAAAAATATATTAAACATAAATAAAATAAAAAAATAAAACATAAAAGAGAGAGAAAGGAAAAAAAGAAAACAAATATTTGCCCAGAATCCTCTTCTTCTGTCATCTGTCTTTCTCTGTTGCTTGCTTTTCCTCCATGGCAGCAGAACAGAGGATGTTCTTATCACAAAAATAAGACATCTGTGCCACCACCTCTGCCCCGCCGCCGCCGCCGCCGCACCACCGCCACCACAGCCGCAGTCAGCAAACAGAAATTCAACCCGCCACTCCCCACTCTGCTAATTCCATCTCAATGGCCACGATCTGAATCCCAGAACATGTCCCAGAAATAGACTAAAACTGATCCAACGGTTCCCCCACTCCGGCGCGATCCTCGCCGACTAAGCTGCTATTTTTTTTTCTAATTAAAAGATATAAGAAAATTAAAATAAAAGTTCAAAATTATATTTTTTTCTAGCCCCAAAACAACTATAAATTTTAATTTTGGCCCCATAACTGTATTTTCCTTTCACATATGAACGGTTAGCTGACCGGTGAACTAAATGTGTCTAAAATGGTAAATTCAATTCACCTCGGAACATGGGGACATAAGTGGAATCGGGATAAACATTAGTGATGAAAAATGTAATTCTCCCGAGAGAGAGAGAGAGATTGTTGTTTGCGGGATTTTTTTGGACAAAAAATAAGGCAAATTACGAGAAAACCTCTGAGGCAAGGTCTAATTAAAAATTCCCCCTTATGTTTGCATAATTACAAAAAATTTCATGAGGTATGTTGTCGTCTTACACATTAAGGGCCCATTTGACCATACTTATTTTAAACAACTGATGCGCTCTTACGCCTGATAAGATGTTTTAACAGCCGATAAGTTTTTACATTTTATTTTTAGAATTAATTTTTTAAAGTGTTTGGATAATGATCTTATAAGCTATTTTTACAATAAGATCTTAAATAAAGAGGTGGAGTAGAGCTACTATTTAAAAAGGATTTTATTTGTTCTTCAATAACTTATTTAAAAAAAGTTAAGATTTTTTTTTAAGAAATTACCAAACACTTTGGAAGAGCTTATAAGCTCTTAAACATCTTATAAGCTCATTTTAACATCTTATAAGTTTAGCCAAACACTCTCTAAAATTCCTGGAACCTCACAATCTTTTTAAAAGTTATATGAATATTTGAAATTTAGAAAATTTCAAAAATTTCAGAGTTTTTAGAATCAAATATATTTGGCTCTAGGGACGGACCCATGGGGTTTTTTCTTGTGGGTGATTTAAGAGAATTTTTTTTAATGGATTAAAGTGTATAAAATTGGAAATTTAAGGGACGAAAGTGCATTAACTAATACATAAATAACAAAAAAAAAAGTTATAATTTTTGTTTTCTGAGGGCAGGCCACCCAAGCATACTCATAGGTACGTCCCTGTTTTGCTCCACAATTACCAAAATAAAAGAAATAATAAAAGCTATTATTACAAGTACTAAATTTTATTTATTTTTTAATTCGAGCGTAATATAATAATTTTAATATAAAAGTAATATTACATAAAAATATGTTTATATATATGATACTATATAAAATCACCAAATGCAAATAACTCCTCCCTCCCAGACCAATTCAATTTCTAACGTCCATGAAAACAAACCGAATTTCCCACCTTTTATCTCTCTCCCCCAAATTTCTCCTCTCCATTCATCTTCTCCGCCTCTATTCTCTCTGCCACCAACACGAACCCTATTCTCCCTTTTCTCCATTTTCCAACCAATTTCTCGTTTTTTCTCTTTCTCTATCCATTCTTGCATTTCTTTTTCGGGTAATGGGTTATTCTTTTCAATAGTCACAAAAAAAAAAAAAAGAATACTTAATTAGAAACAAAAATTCTGCGTAATCATGGGGCAGCAGACGTTGATCTACAGTTTCGTAGCGAGGGGGACGATGATTTTGGCGGAGTACACTGAATTCAAGGGGAATTTCACCACCATTGCGTCGCAGTGTCTGGCGAAGCTGCCGGCTTCTAGTAACAAATTCACCTACAATTGCGACGGCCACACCTTCAATTATCTCGTCGAAAATGGATTCAGTATGTACCTTTTGATCTCAATTTGTTTTTGTTTTTTTTTCTTTTTTTTTTTGTTTAGTTAATTGGTTTTGATCTTCCAATTTTGGTTTGATCTGTTTTATTTGGTCATCGTTTAACGATATGAATTCGTAATGTCTTCTCATAAATTTTTGTATATTATTGTGAAATGTAAATTTTAGGGATTTCTGCATGTGAGATCATTAATATTTGGATAAATTACGACCACCCCTGAAGTAAGGTCAAATTACAAAAATATCCATCATGTTTGGGTAATTATAACCACCCTCAACTATGAATCTTCTTACGCGTCTACCTTTATGGTGTCAAATTCAACGTAATCTTCTAGTTTCCGTGGAATGTTCTCTAGTTCGTACTCGTTATGTGCAAAAATGCAATTTCTGATGCTTTACAATCTGATATTTACAAGCCAAATGACACATCTTATGATCATCTAATTTCAAAGTGTGGAGCATGAATGTTGTAAAACGGGTACAAACTGGAGAATATGCCATATAATCTAGAAGATTTAGTTGAGGGAGTGGTTGTAATTACCAAAATGAGGGATTTTTTCGCAATTTGACTTTACCTCAGGTGGATGGCCGTAATTTACCCTTAATATTTAATTGTGCTGGGATTTCGAAATATTAATTTTTAGTCCAGTTATGAAGATCTCTTTTGAGAAAATGTACCTATACAAAAACTGATATTTTTTATGATGGCGGAGATTTTTGATTGTCGAAATGTAAAGGTCTAAGCATAATTTCAATGCTACAATCGAGGGTTTGGATTAGGGGAACATGTTTTTATACTTGGATTATGGACAACATGAATGAGAAGCAGGTCGAATGTTGTGCTATACGCAGAAGTTACTTAGTGCATGACATGTCTACGGAAATATTTATTTATTTAGCACAAAAGTTTATTTGAAAGAGAGACGTATGATGAAATCGCGTAAGATCCACATTATTTAACGTGTTATCGTCCAGGAACTCTTCTTCGCTACGTATTAGCTATTTAGCAATTCTACATTATTAGTTATTTCAAAAGAAAAAAAGAGTACTAGTGTGAATACAATTATGAAGATTTTTTTCTTCATGATATTACGTCGGAACTTATACATTCATTTCGATTGTTTTTTGGCATAAAAGTTCGTTTATTATTTCTAGACCATTCTTCACTCATATACTCTACTCTGCGTTTTGTAGCTTATTGTGTTGTTGCAGTAGAATCAGCTGGCAGGCAAATCCCGATTGCGTTTCTGGAACGTGTTAAGGAGGATTTCAACAAGAGATACGGAGGCGGCAAAGCTGGAACTGCAGGCCCGAACGGTCTCAAAAAGGAATTCGGGCAAGTGTTGTTTTCCCTTTTTAATTAATTATTTGATTTTATGCGCTTTGCCAAACCATTTATATGATAATTTTCAGCCCCAAACTGAAAGACCAAATGCAGTACTGTGTCGATCATCCTGAAGAAATTAGCAAAATCGCTAAGGTGAAGGCTCAGGTTACTGAAGTAAAGGGTGTGATGATGGAAAACATTGAAAAGGTACAAATTGTCTCTCGTTGAACTAAATGCTTTGAATCGGCAATGTTTGGTTCCCTTTCCATTTCATTTTTATTCTTTCGCCAAAATGAATTCGTGTTTGTTAAGCTTTTCAAAAATATTCCTCAAAACTATTTTAAAAGTTTTTTTTTTCAAACATCATTTGACTGCTACAGTAAAAAACTCCTACTACTGGTGAGGTAACGGCTAGTTTTGGTATGTTGGGAGATATTATTATTGCCGAACCTAATTCCTACATAGCGTTTGCGGGTAAAAGAGTAATTGAATAAATATTGAATAAAATAGTACCCCAAGGTTCACAAGTGGTTGAATATTTATTCCAGAAGGGCTTATTCAACCTAATCGCGCAATCTTATAAAAAGTGTTCTGAGTGAGTTATTTAAGCTCCATGTTCATTGAAAAACAAACAAACGTCACTTTACTTTTCAAATTCTTTTTATAAAATACCATTTTTTTCCAACACCTTTAAACATGATCCGCTACAGTGTATTCAGTCTCATCTCAAAATATAAATTATAAACATTACTTTCGTTCTAAAATTCTTCCCTCAATACATATTTCACCAAAATAAAATAAAAATAACTCCCAAAACGATTCCAAACATTGCTGATTCTCTAATTATGTTTACTCAAATTTTTGGTTCATCAGGTTCTTGACCGAGGAGAGAAAATTGAACTGCTTGTTGACAAAACTGAGAATCTCCGATCGCAGGTTAGTCTCTAGAGATCTATGAATTAGCCAATGCTTGAACATTGTTGATCATAACTTTTTAAATCGTCATAAAAACTTTCTTACATTAGCTATCGGGAATGTTCATCTAAATTCAACATTTTCCACGAACAGGAATTTGTAATAACTTGATATTTTCTTATCCTTTGAACTAGAAAATTGAAAAAAAATGTTAACTAGTCATTTTATACCAATTTGAATCTTCAACCTCTTATTGTGTACCGAATATGACCTTCCGATAGAACTCATTTGTCAGACCTTCCACTAGTTTTTGGCTTTTGGACTTCATTTTTGACCTTTATCAATGGTCATTATGGGCGGTGGCGGGAGCCAACATATGGTCAGAGGGGGCCATGGACCCCAACAGTTCTCGAATCCCTATTTTTTTTATATAAGGATAGTTTATAATTAGCATTATCGGCCCCCCTCAAAAAAGTTGCATTCGACCCCCGCAAACTTAAAATTCTGGCTCCGCTAGTGACTATTTGGTCAAAGTTCTGAAGATGGCATTACTTCAAACGAAAAATGAGTCGCTTTTCATAATGCATAATTATTTGAAAAGAAAACAAAAGATTAACATATAAAGGTTTATCCGTTTTTGAATCTCAGGCACAAGATTTTAGAACACAAGGTACGAAGATGAAGCGAAAAATGTGGGTTCAGAACATGAAGATTAAGCTGGCTGTGTTTGGTATTTTTGTAGCTTTGGGACTCGTCGTCTTTTTGTCCATCTGTCACGGCTTCAAGTGTTGATTATATATTCCACAAAACCTGTTTTTTTTTCTCTTCCGTTTTCTTTGTTTTTTTTTGGGAGTTGTTGCCTTCGCTGTTTTAAAGTTACCGTTTTCTCGAGTTAGACAAAATCGAAGAAAAATGCGTTCATTTTTTAAGTTTATGTGCAACTTGAATACAAAATACCTGATGTATAGATGATATATAAGTTTTAGCAATAGATAACTTTTTGGAATGCTATTTGTTTACATGCACTTTTGATTTACTTTTGTGGTGTTTTTACTTCCTTTTCATATCACTTTCTCTCGTTCTGGCATCTGCGTCTCTAGTAAAAAGGGGTCGCTAGTGAATTTTTGGTTAGGGGTGTAAAGGAATTGAATCGAGCCGTATGTGTAGTTGTTTGTTCCAATGCTTCATTGGTTTTAAAACATAAAGCAACGCCGATATTTACCTTGATTACAGTGGCGGGGCCAGGATTTTATGTCCGCGAGGTCAAATATGTACTAGAAGTTGTATAGGGTGGCCAGTAATCACTAGTAGAAAAATGGTTTTTTACTACGATTTTTTTTGCTACGGTAAAAAACCGTAACAAAAGGTACATTTTACTACGGGACAATCTTGGAGTCGTAGTAAATGCTTTACCGTAGCAAAAAAGTATTTGCTACAGACATTTACCGTACCAAAGTTTTTGTCACACCCGTATATGCTACGGGTCAAATTCGTAGCAAAAATATTTTTATTACTAATTTGGTACCTTACGATTAATGGTTGTAGTAAAAAAATAGTTTTTCGACCGGTGAATGCTACCATACACGAAAAACAATAAATCATTATATAAAATAATAAGAATTTGAGAAACGTCGGGGGGCCATGGCCCCCCTTGGCCCTATGCTGGCTCCGCCACATTGAAGATATATTTAAAGAGTGAGAGAATAGAGCGAGAGAAGAGGAGAGGTAGCGAAAGAAGAAGACGACGCGTATTTGAAGACTCCTCGATTCTAAAAGCTTAAATGAGGTAATACATTATGCTTATAGATTTATCTCAAATGAAAAGTATGGGCGGGAAGTGCAATGTTTTCAGACTATGTTGCTATCTGAAAACAGAACTATAGGTAATAATAATTGGATGTATTACACAAAAATCAAGTGGTCATTCGTCGTATTGAAGAAAATATGGGACCAAAGTACAATTAATTAAAGTATTCAACTTGATCATGGTTCATGAATCAACAGTTACGAGTTTCGACATCAGTTTACAAATCATGGTTTCGTCTAAAATAATCAACATTTAATCGATCTTGTACTGACGAAACTTCTAACTCGTTCAATTAATCAGTCCATTTACGCTTCGGGTTCAAGTTCGAGCATACGCCCGTACCCTTAGTCAGGTGTAACTGCAACCATTAATCACCAGTGAAATAAATAGAAAAGCAACAAACTATTGCAAAAATTTCCAACCTAATTCGGAATTGAACTATGGTGGTGTTTGCAAACGCTTAATTCAAAGCAAAAGTTATGGATTGTGAGTTAAGTTGATTTTAAGTGCTTATTTCTAAAAGTTGGAAGTGCTTGCAAATTTATTGGAATATCAACTTAAATAGAAAAAGTAGGGTCATGAGTGGTTAACAAATTATAGCTTAAAGTTACTTATTTTAAGAGAAACAAAAACAAAAGTTCATTTCGGAAAAACTTCAAAATAGACTATGAGCAAAAAAAACTCATAATCTATTTGTAAAAGCTTTTGCAAATACCACCTATATCAACCTTGTACTCTGCTTTGAGCTTGCTAATCTATAGTTTCATAAAATGCTACACTTGGTGAAATAGACCGGACATTTATTTCACACATTTAATCTACACACAATCATACACATATAAATGTGAATACGACTCAAACGTTAATCTCGATAAACCGGTTCGATGCATCGCCTTTCTTAAAGGGGCGTGCTACATTGTGTTTTAGTAGAACTTTATTACTTATTCAACATTATAAGTAGGTCTGTAATCGTTTGTGTTGAATTTAAATGCCTATCAAAGTCCACTCATCTGTTGAGACAGACTACGTGTTACGACATTAGGTGTGGTAACGGAGTTCTTGTGTTGTCACAGTAACTAACCTACTAAAAGCAGAATAAAGAACTCAAGAATTTAATGTGGTTCGCATACAAATGTACCCTACATCCACGATGACTTGCAAAACTAGTTCAGATTTAAGTGTACATTAATAGGACTTAATAAAACACTAAAGACTCCCTCTTTATGTGATACGCCGTTCTTGCACACGACTCGAACTTGTTGATAATCAAAGCAATTCCTCCTCCGCAATCTTGGACTTCCTCCAATATTGAACTCCCTTCAAACGGCGGATCGACCTCTCCCGAGATCTTTTAAGCACTTCTCCCAAGACGCCGATCTTCTTTATGGCCTGGTAGAAGAAACCTGTTATGTTGCCACACCTGATGTGCCGACGGGGCTGCAGCACGGGCTGCACCCTTCAAAGCCTTTATGCTGGGATTTTTCTTATTAAAGCTCCATAGGACTCATATGAGGTTGAGGGCCTTATATAGGCACGAAATCACCACCCTAAACCTAACTTGGGCCCTAAGAAATCGATTTAACTAGGTAATAGAATCCTAGTCGATTTCTACTTCTATTCTAGATAAGTACAAAAGATACCTAACTAGAATATAATACATGGAAATAAATCTAAGTCCTAATAAAAATATTACAAGAATAGGACTCTAATTAATTCCAAAATAAACATGAAAAATAAATCTTTGCCAATCTTTAATTTCCACGTATGGCGGATTTCTTCAATCTTCACAAACAGAAATCTGGTGCCAACAGTTTGAGTTTGATAGCTATCGAATTTATTACAACTTTTAGAAAATTTTCTCTTATTTCTAATATATTTTGGATGTTTCTGTTTTATGTGATTAATTCGTATAAATTTAGGGCAAATTACGGTCACCTCCTAAGTTAAGATCAAATTACGAAAAAATCTTGTTTGGGTAATACAACCACCTTTCAATTATGTACCGTCTTACGAAAAACCTCCTCTTCGATAGGTAATTTTGACACCGTAAAAGTGGATGTGTAAGACAATATGTATCTTCCAAAAGCAAAAAAAGATCTCGGAGAGTTGTTTCTTGAATCCGAAAGAGAATACTTGGGTTCTCCCAATAACTTAAAAGTGTAGCATGCATGCCTGAATCTAACTGGGGTTCACGATGGTGAAGGAAATGGATTGAAAAAAAAAGGAACTCTAGTTGTAAGATATCTAATGAAACTGTCGCTCGTTTTTAGATCTTACTCAAAGAGAAAGATATCAAATATGTGGAGTTTATTTTTGTATATTGTATGGATGATCAGATCCGCAAGGACCATAATTGGGAATGTTTGATCGTCTTTCTATGAGGAAGAGGCGAAATAGAATTAACTTGAATTCGGACCGCTATTCGAAATCTTAGTCAAACACTGAATTTCTCATCTCATGTCTGCTTTTCGTGAAAAAAACCAATTGAAGTGGAGGGTTTCTTCAAACAACAAAGGGTTGGGTCAACTATTCAATCAAATGATATTGAGCATGTTTCTCATCTCTTCTCGAGAAACAAGGGGCTATTTCTTTGCAAAATTGTGCTCAGGACCGATGAGTAACGCGCATAAGAACATGCCCTTGGGAGGGAAACAATAGCTGGAAACGGCTGCTAATACCTCCGTAGTCTTAGGAGCAAAAGGAGGAATCCACCTGAGGAGGGGCTTGGGTCTGATTAGATAGTTGGTGAGGCAATAGCTTACTAAAGTGAAGATTGTAGCTAGTCCGAGAGGATCGGATGATCAGCCACACTGGGACCGAGATACGACCCAGACTCCAATGGAAAGCAGCAAAGGGGAATTTTCACCCATTCATGATTGACTAATTGAGAGAAGTGATTGTAATGAGTGGTTTTTTCGTAATTTGATCTTATTGTAGGAATGACCGTGATTTGCCCATAACTTTATTCTAGAATGAAAAAGTAAAAGAAAGAAACATAGATACAAAACCACCAAACCATAGCATATTATTCAACCTTGGAATTGGGCTATATAAATTTTGTACTTTTGCTTCGAGCTCGCTAATCAACAAGTTACAAGTTCTTATAAATAGGTAAATTAGATGCTACACCTCATCATTTGCACTGTGTGGAGTTTAACCATAAATCTACATATAATTACGCACACTCATATGTATGTATGCATAGTGGATAGTTATTTAATCAAATAATTTACGATTTAAATCCACCCGATGTAAAGAATCAGATGTAGCATCTAACTCCCCTTATAAAAGCTACATTCGGTGAAATACATTGAACGATTTCCCATTTCAATTACACACAGTCACACAAATATACATGCAGTACTTGTAAAATACGTATACACCTATTCACGTACATAACACAATACAACTCGAAGAAGTTAATCAAAACTTAAGCGAAGCGGTATCGTCGGCATTCCCTTGAGGCGGGCTAATAACAATCCACAGCAAAGAAGACGTAATCGAAATAAGCCCCGCCCAAACGTACACAATCGTCGGGACACGGCCCCTCCGCCCCATAAGCCCCTTCGCAAACGGGTACATATGCACAAGCACCCAAAAGCTAAAAAAAGCGCCCCCGAAAAGCTTACTCCACTCCGGTATCACACTGTACACCGTCCGTGAAAACCCGATCACAAGCGCCACCAGGTTCATAATGATAATAAACAACGGCATTATAAATAACCCCGTCCACTTCACTACATACAAATCCGCGTATATATCGTCCTCGTCTTCTCCGGTCGATTTCGATGTTAACGTGAACGAGATCTCGATTCCGGCGATGACTTTCAGGAGTCCTTGAATAACGGCGACGAGGTGGGCGCTCGTGCCGCCGATCACCCAAAATTGTTCGTTCCGCCACCACTCTTCGAGGCCGATTCCGGACCACTTGACTTCTAAGAGGGAGATGAAGACGAGGCAGAGGGTGATTATCAGGAGGTAGCTGAGGAAGTGGATGTCGAGTGATTGGACGATGAACTTGCCGGAGAAGAGGGAGAGGGCGGGGAGGAAGCAGTAGACGACGAGGAAGATAGAGGTGAAGGGGTAGATGCCGACGTTGAGGTACGCGATGCGCTGGAGGAATTTGAGGCGGGAGGTGGCGAGGATGGCGTTGTTCCGGGAGAAGAAGATCTCGACGGAGCCTGTGGCCCACCGGAGGACCTGGTGGAGGCGGTCGGTGAGGTTGATCGGGGCGGTGCCGCGGAAGGCGTCGCGCTTGGTGATGCAGTAGACGGAGCGCCAGCCGCGGTTGTGCATGCGGTAGCCGGTGACCACGTCCTCCGTCACGGAGCCGTAGATCCAGCCGATTCTGTCGCCCCACTCTGTTTTGTCCTCGTACCTGAGTTTTTTGATTAATTTCCAACGTTAAAATTTAACAGAAACCACATTTGGTCACTCGTATTTCAGTAATTTAACATTTTTGGTCATTTCCGTCAGTTTATTGTTAGTTCGTCAATTAAGGCAATGGCGGGACACACACTTGATTTCGTTAGTAGTAACGGAAAATCGACAGAAAGGACCTAAAAGTGTTGAATGTTTGAAACATGAGGGATCAAATGTGTTTTTTTGAACACGGAGTGACTAAATATGAAAAACTGTGTATTTTTCTAAATTATTTATATAACATTAGGCATGATTAAATTATGCAAAAACCCCTTATGTTTGGATAATTACAATCAGCCATGAACTATATAAATGTAAGTTTCTTAAAATTGTTTTTTAATATTTGGTAGTTTTTCCGAACTTGAAATCGGACCCGAAATTAAAATTCATGTATAATTCTGATTCCGATCCAAAAAAATCTGAAAAAAGTCGAAAGCCGGACTATAAACAAATCACTCGAAAAATAAAAAAATAGAAAAGTTGTAGGATTCGATTGTTATTACCAGCAAGAAATGACAGCGATGGCCTCGGCTGCGGTGGGGGCATCGAGCGGGGGCCGCGGCATGAGTAAAGCACCGGGGGCCCGACCGTTCTTGACGGAGAAATGATCGGCAAGGGGCCGTCCTTGAAACTCAGCAACGGCTATTGATTCGTTGAACATAGTTGAGTTTCCGAATTTCTTAGGTAGGTCCAAATCGGGGTGACCTGATGTAAGGGGGGCCTCTTCCTCCGACTGAGGAGGCACCATATTCTTAACGGGGGCCTTATTTTGTCCGAAAACGCCCGAATATTCGTTCGCTCTTGGTGGAGGAAAACCGTAGAGAGCGTAACGCCTGAACATGCATCCAGTTCCGACATAAACCGGACCTTGTAGACCATCCAATGCTCTCATATTCCCTATTTATATACTTATTCAATCATATTTCAGATTATTTAAAAACAACATTTTTTACTACTAAGCTTACCTAAAAAAAAAATTAAAAGAATTGTACCTACATTTCTAAATAGAGTTTATTGCATTTAGGACCCTGTGTTATACCGAATTGTTAAAAATATTTTCGTGTTATAAATATTAGCAAAATATGCCCTATGATGCATCTTGTTAGCACACAATCCCTTAACGGTTTGTTTTTAGGGGTAGTTTGCTAATAAAATTGAATTATAGGAGGGTATTTTGCTAATATTAATAACACGAGGAATTTTTTCGACAATTAGAGTAAACATAAGGGTGGAAAATGCAATAAATCCTTTCTATGTTTTATTTGAGGTGAAATATTTAAGTTGGCTCAATCTACTTTTCATTTTTTGCATTTGTAAATTCAAACATTATAAGGCCAACTATGTGCAAAGAATACACAAAAAAAAAATTAATAATAATAAAAATAGAAATAAAAAAACTTTATAGAGTTATTCTTACCATCGAAAAACACGGTATTGTGATTAGCATATCTGTCGGAGGGATCGATGCCTTCAAACCTCTGCGGGAACTGTATATAGCATATACGGTCACCGCCCCGGTCCATCATATAGCACATGCCTTCTCTAATAGCCATAGAGTTGTAGATATAGTGGTCACAATCCAAGTTCAAAATGAACGCTCCATTCGATAGTATGGCCGATGCCCTCACTAAAGCATTCATTGCACCGGCCTTCTTGTTATGATCGTAGCACTTGCGTTTCTCACGCGACACGTAGGCGAACATCGGGAGACGAATGTCGATACCGGTGAAATCCAATCTTTTCTCGTCCGGCCCTCCCATTATCGGATCATTATCGGGAACCTTGCTCATTATCTGTAAGCAAAAAATGTCAATGCTTGAGAATATTATCCAAGAGTAAGATATTGATATTACCAAAAAGAGATTGGGAATTTTTTTTCGTATTTTAATGATAATATTTATTAGGGTTTATTGCATTCAACACCCATGCGTTTACTATAATGGTTACAAATTCGTCGTTTTATTAATATTTACAAACTCCTCCTATATTGCAACTTTTTCTTAGCAAACTACCGCCTAAAATCTCACCATTGAGGAGAATGTGTACTAAAAAATGCATTACAGGGGCACTTTTGCTAATATATTAATAACACGAGGACTTTTTTAGCAATTTGTTATAACATGGGGTCCTAAATGTAATAAACTCATATTCGTTAGGTGCCGTTTGCAAAATAAACTCAAACATAAGTTTTTATTTGTAATTAATTAATCAAATAATTACTATGAATTATGGTGAACATCTATGAAAATGTCATTGTTTTTCCCAAACTAACCTGCAAAATACCGGCGTGGTCTCCCTTGGCGTGATCGGGGGCCGGGTTGAACCATGTCCCGGGCCAGTGGGTCCCGTCGGCCATCCACGTGGCTTTCGTGACTTCGAACTTGTGGTCCGGTGGGATCACGCCATTGTTCTTCTCCTTGACGAGCTTCTTTTCTTGCATCTCCTCGTTTTTGTTGTACATTTTACAACGCTTGTGTATGACTTCGGGAAGGCCGTTGATTCGGACCTTGAACTCGTCGTACTCTCGCTTGATCCAACGCCTGTCCTTGACGAAATCGGGGCGCTTCTTGTTCTTCGTGGGGTCCATCTTTTGGCTGAAGTAGCTGTCCGGATTTCTTGGCTCGATGTCGTGCTTCCGGCAGAACGGCACCCATACCTATCGGGTAATGAGAGTTAGAAATTCAGTTCAATCTTTTCTATTTCCACCACATCATTAAATATTCCAAAACGGAAATTAGATGTTACACCTAATTATTTACACTATGATTTCGAACCGTAGATCTGCACACAAGCACACACACTTATGTGTACGTGTGCTTAGTGGATAGTTATTTAATCAAATATATGGTTCAAATTCACCCGATATAAATAACCAGTTGTAGCATCTAACTTCCATAAACTGCGTATAAAGAAACGAAAAACAAAAGTAATTAATTACCTCGGCAAATTTGACAGCCTCGGCCATAGCCTCAAACGTAAGAATAGCCCCACCATCATCCGATATATAAATAGATACCTTCTCAATCGGATAATTCACCGCAAGTATAGATAAAATTGTATTAGCAGTGACCAAAGGCGGTTCCTTATCGGGATCGGCTGTCGATATGAACACATCCATTCCGGGAAGATCCGACCGGCCGGTCGGGTTGGACGGACCGGGCGTCTCGAACTTGTCCTTAAGAGCCGCCAAATCGGCCGCCCGGTTTATTGGATTGAATTTGGGTAGAATATCGAGTAACCATGAAAATGCAAACCATATTTCGCACACGATGGATATTCCCCATAGCCACATTGCTTCTCGGTTCGGGTTTTGGACCCGCCAGATGAGGAACATGGTTAGCGCGATCATTCGAATCACGATAAGGACTCTGTGCATGTTAGAAAGTTTGTGTTAGTAGGATTGGAAATACTTTCAATATAAAACTTGGAAAACCTCTAACCATCATAACTAAAAAAAAAAAGTAGTGTTAATTTCACTTGGACCCCCTCGTAGATAGTGAAAATTACGAAAATTACCCAAACCTCCTCTGTTAGATGGCTCTGCTTACTTCGGTTTGAATTTGAAACAATGGGAGGTTTGGGCAATTTTTTTTAACTAAGAGGGGAGCAGTCTGTAGTTTCACTACCTAACACAGGATTCAAGTGTAATTAATCCCAAAATAAGGAAAAAAAAAAATACCCAAAACTAATTTACATTGATAGATAAAAATTTAAGTTCATTGTAGATTAAAAACATCTTGAGTTTAATGGATTTGTTATCATGAATTTGAAATCGTTGACTCCGAATTATGCTATCGAAATGCAAACCAAGGGCTATTTCTTTGGTCAAACGTAGGGTAAGTTACAGTTTTCATCCCTCAAGTTTGCATATATTTCACATTTGGTCATTTATGTTCACAAAAAACACATTTGGTCCATCGATTTCAACAATTTAACGCTTTTTGTCATTTCCGTCAATTTACCGTTAGTATGTCAGTTATGTCATTGATGGGCACACGCTTCATTATGATAGTTTTAACGGAAAATTTACGGAAATAACTAAAAATATTGAATTTTTGAAACATGACGGACCAAATGTATTTTTTTGTGAACATAGGGGACCAAATATGAAATCGGTGCAAACTTGAGGGATGCAAACTGTATTTTCCCGTTAAATGTATGTCTAATCTCGAAAATTAAAATTTAATTAGTTTTAAAAAAAAAAAAAATTCATGTTTGAAAAAGGCAAGTTATTTAGTAGGAGGAGTATGTGTATTTTTCATTATATATTGGAATTACAAAAAATATGTATGTATTTTTTCCATTAATTCACCTGTAAGGGCTTATAACACCTCCAGGAACTTGAACTTTCCTTGTGAGCGGCTTCCACGGTTTGTCCATGAAATCCTGCATGCTCATCCCCGTATCGTGATCAAACGAATCGTCTTGCCAAAACGCGTTCCCGATCCCGTATTTCCCCTTCGTCTCGAAAAGCCAACGGTTGTGGTCGAATTCCTGCGTCTGGCTCCTCAACAGCATCGACTTGTTATTATTATTATTCTTCAACACTGACATCCTCCGGTCCAGTTTCCCCGCCGCGTCACCGCCACCATCGCCGCCGCCCGCTCTGCCGCGTTGTTGCGTCTCGGAGCGGAACCTGGACGACGGGGCCCGGAACGTGGTGGGCCCGTCCGGCTTGTCCCCCGATGAGGCGGCGGCGGCCGCGGCAGCCCCACCTGACGCGCCGGGCTGATTGTCCGGCGTGGGGGGCATTAGGACGGTGTAGTTTATGTAGTCGTTTTGGGCGGCGTAGTCGCCCGGAAGGTCGATCTCGTCGTCGCGAGAGAGGCTGACGACTCGCCCGCTGGAAGTGCGGCGGGCGAATTTGACGGACTGGGGCGACGGGCCCCGGTCGGAGTCTCCTCCGACGGAGGCCGAAGGCCTCCTCGGATTCGATGATTTATCCATCGAATATTTAATTAATTATATTTTGTTTTGTTCCCTTTGTCATGCAAATGCATTGTTCTTTTTCTTTTCGTGGTTTGTGGGATTGGGTTTGAGATTGAAGGTTGGATTGGTGGGAGAAAGATGAGGGAAAACTTGGGAAAGTTTGATAGGGAGAATTGTTGAAGAATGTAAGAAAGGAAAATAAATGGAAATGCCAAAAATAGAGTGGTTTAATTCTTGTCAACTTTGTATCCATGCATTTTCACAGTTGCATGGATATATACCCTTATTTTACGCCTAGCCCCTCGATTCTATTATATGTAATATAATAGGGTAATATGCAGGACCCCTAATTATTTATCCTCGTAGAAACTGCCTTAATATGTAAAAGGTCTGGTTCAAGTTCCCTTCCATACTTCCCCGTGTTAAAGGACTTGAATTTACTCCAAAAGAAAATAAAAACTGTGAATTTTTGTACGAGGTAAGATTTGGAAACTTAAATTGATAATTTGTGAAGTTGTGAATTTGATTCATTTGATACTTATGAGGATGCATCATCATAAGTTTTTGGGTTAATTCCACTTCATCCCCTTCTTGAGCTAACAACACAGAACCCCTGTGTTATTTCTAATTGTCAAAAAAGTCCTTGTGATAAAACAATTAACATATACCCCCTTATGTTGCATTTTATATCACATGTACATCGCCATATCGCCATATTTATCAGATTTAATTGCTGAATTGAATGAAAAGACAAAATTATCCCGAATTTAAAATAAAGCAAAATGCCCCAAAGCCAATTAAGAAAATCGTGAAAAAAATGAAAAAGAAAAGGCAAGAGCAAGACATAAGTCTTCTCTTCCCCGTCGACTTCTCCACCCTTTTCTTCTTTCCAGAATTTTTCTCTTCCACTGTTGTTAATTGGTTTGCAAGGAAGAAAGGGGGCGGAGTTCCTTGGGCGAGATGGAACAGAGGAAAGGGGGCGTTTATTTATGAGATTTTGGCGAGTGGAGGGTTTTAGTGAGGTCGACGGTGGAGGGGCAGTCATAGACGGTGGGGGAGGTGGCGAAGCGGAGGTGGTTGCAGAGCTGGCGGCTAGTTCGGAGTTTCTTAAGTTGGCCGGCAATGGTGGTTTTGGGTGTGGTGTAGGAGAGGACTTTTTTGAAAGTGTATGGGAATGAAATAAAAAAAATTGAAAAGTTCATTTTAGTGCTTATAAAAAAGTAAGGGTGAATCTGTAATTTTGTAAATTTGTAATGAAGGGTAATTTGGTTCTTTTACGGTAAAAAATACACTCTCGGTCGCAAAATTCGCACGTGCAACTCACGATAAGTTGTTAGGGGCTTTTTCAGCTTTGACTACATTTCATGGGGGGTCCTTGCCAATTGTTATAACACGAGGGGTTTTACGGTAATTAGAGATTACACAAGGTAGGTTATTGCAAAAAACCCTCCCCTTCTTAGATAGTGAAATTACGATCGAGAACTTACTCTCTATCTCTTTTTTTCTTTAATTGTAAAAAGTGAGGGTAAAATTGACATTTCACTCTTTCAGTCTGGTTCGATAAACGGAAAGGTCTCGTTAATTTTTTTTTCTCAGGTTTCTAAAGTATAGATAAATATGTGTGTTTATATCGTAAGTTTGGTTCAATACTTGTGAAGCAAAAACAATTAATCTTCAATCCTTAAAACCTTTTAATTATAGATAATCATACAAAATTTTTGGTTTAGATCGTACTGTGTTTTTCACCAAGTGTAGGTTTCACAAAACCTCCTCGTTAAAATCTTTGTTGACCCTAACAACGACCCGATAACAAATTAACTAAACATAACGTTTGGCTATAAGACAAAGAGGGTTCTTTTTACGCATCGTAAATCCTTCCGATGCATCAGTATCAATATCTTCTTCTTTCACACCCGGAGGCAATTCCCAATCGAACGAGTAAAGAAGATTGGCCAACGCCATTTCCACAGCCGCAACTCCGAGAGACAATCCCGGGCACCTTCTTCTCCCCGACCCAAACGGAATAAACCCGAAATCTTGCCCTTTAAAATCAATACTTTTGTCATAACTATTATTATTATTCAAGAACCGCTCCGGCAAGAATTCGTTCGGATTTTTCCAATACTCGGGATCTCTACCAATGGCCCATACATTAACGAAAGCAAACGTTTTCGGTTCGATATCGTACCCGTTTATGATGCACTTTTCCATTGTCTCCTTTGGGACCAACAATGGAAGTGGTGGATACAATCTCAAAGTTTCTTTAATGACTGCTTTGAGATAGGTTAACTTTTCGATATCATCTTCGTCTACGAAACTTTTCTTACTATCGGCCATTAGACTTCGGATTTCTTGTTGTGCTTTCTTCATTGCGCATGGCTTCTTTGTTAGAGCCGTCAGTGCCCAAACGATTGCGGATGCACTCGTTTCCATTCCAGCAACGACAATGTTCTGTGATCGACAACATATTTTCAGGATGAAGGAAATAGTAATTGTATTATTTTGACATTCCTTTATTCATTACAAATTTAAAACTAACTCAAAAAATGGAATTTCATGTGTTTAAGTCACCATAAAAAAATATATTTTGGGTGACGACGTCTATTTTCATAATCTTAGACAAAAAATGTTGTCACTAATTCTCTATAGTGATAACAAAAAAAGTTTTAGTGACGACAATAAAAAGATATATCTTAGCACCAAAATGCAAAATGTTGTTACCTAATGTAAGCGTTTATTGAAGAAAAAAAATCTGAATTTTCAGAAATTAAAATCATATCGGAAATCAAAATCTAAGATTTATTCAAATTCTCTTCCAAAAAAATAAAAAATCAAAACTCAGGATACAAAATATTATTCCAGAATCGAAAATTATGGGATCGACGTCGGAATTCGAAATTTTTTCAACTTTCCGTAGGGGGTCGCTACTAATGCCTTAGCTATATTAATTTATTCCCAACAAGTTGACTATTCATCACAAGTTGATTATAAGTTTATAACAATTTAATGATAATAATAATAATATAAACGATAAATTAATTACCATGCGCGTCATAGATTCAAGACATCAGGAGGGGAATTGAAGAACTAGTAACTATCATCCTTTAATTAAAAAAAAAAAAAAAAGAATTACCATGAGTATTGCCTTGATATTGTTCCAATCAATCTTAACCGAAGCTGAATCATCTTCCCTGAGTCGAATCAAGAGATCAAGAAAATCGCCATCCATCGAAACCGGCCTATCGGGACTGAGATGCTCATCTATAAGTTGCTGCAAAAACGAGTCCATATTCACGAAAGCCCTATCAAGCCGATAAACCACACCGGATAACTTATCAATCAAACCAAACAGAGGAATAAAATCAGCCAAAACAACGTCGGCGGATACTTTCTCGAAATCAACCATAAGCTTCTGGAACCTTCTTCCTTCGTCGAACCTCTTTCCGAACGCAACTCTGCACAAAAGCTTCGTACTGAAAGCCATCACCCTCTCGCTCAAGTCAACGGCCCGGCCGCTCGGACCGGCCAGGGTTAGATTCGTAATTTCGTCGATCATATGAGAGACCTCTTCTTCGCGGATGGGTTTAAAGGAATGCACTTGCTTGAGGGTGAAGAGAAGAAGAACGACCGTTTTCCTCATCTCCCTCCAGTAGTCGTTCTGAGATGACGACGCGATGTCGAGGTAGCCGTACGATAGTTTCTTTGACGGTGTCGTGTGAGGGCGGCCGGCAAACGCGAGGTCGTTGTGCTTTAGGGCTTGTTTGGCGACTTGCGCCGAGGAAATCACGACTGCCGGAACTTGACCGAGTTTTAAGTACATGAGGGGGCCGTGTTTGTTGGAGAGGTCAGAGAGACAGAGGTGGAGTTTCGAAGTGTCGAATTGGTGTAGGTTTCCGATGAACGGAAGCCCTTTTGGCCCCGGCGGGCGGCGGCCGCGGCGGCGATTTTCTTGGGTCGACCCGTTTTTCCTGATGAGGATGAAGATGAACAAGATTATTGGCAAAGGTAAAGTCAGGAAAAGAAGCACATCCATTTTTTTTGATAGGATCAAGAAAACAAAAATGATAACTAAGTACAAATATATAACCAAGCGTAAATAAGCAGGTGTAGCATCTAGCTTCTCATGCTTTGCCGTGTAATTACAATGGCATATGTGAAGGAACTAATTTATTAGGCATACAAGCTCATGAATGCAGTTGACATCCAAGAAATCAAGTTAGTTCAATGTTCTTGGGATAAATTACAAAAAACCCCTGAACATAGATTAAATTACAAAAAAACACCTCCTCTATCAGTAATTACCAAAATCCCCTCTGACTAACTCCCTCTGACTAACTGTTGATTGAGTTTTTTTAACAGACAATGTGTAAGTTCTATTATTCTCTTATGTTAAATATGTGAAAGCTATGTAGCATGAAAACTTCAACTTCATCATGTTTTCGCGTTTCAGACACGTTTCGTGTCCGACACTAGAGGACACCTTATGGGCCATTTTACAATTTCTAAAAAGTTAGAAACATGTTTGAGTAATAAAGTTTCAAATATTTTTTGCTTCACTAATTATTTACATGTTTTAATGATCAACTGCAAATTGATGGTTAATGGGAAAATTTATTTTGAATATGTTTGTCTGAAAGATATAAAAATAATTTATATATAAATAAAAACTTATATATATGTTTTTATAGCCTATTTATAAGGTCTATCCTTATACTTCTAATATTTATATACATTTCTCTCAAGCATCTCTATTTTTTGAACATGGTGTTTCCATGTATCCGTTTTCATGTTTTCCCGTATCACTGTTTTCGTGTCCGTGCTACATAGTGTGAAAGTTAAACGAGAAAATCTAAAATTGTGTAAAGTCTATATCTCCGTCAACTTGAAGGGCATTTTCGTCATTTCACCAATCCCACCCAAATATTATAACTGCCACTTGTACCGGCACAATCCGGCTAATTACTTCACTCTGAACATCTCTCTTAGAAGCTGCGAATCAACTCTATCGGCGGCGCCGTCGAAATCCGCGCCTTCCTTCCACATTGCGCTGGCGTTAGCTCACCATCCTTATCCTTATAACGTGAAGAATTTCTCACATATGCTAGGGTTTCACCACCAACACTAGCAGTCGCCACATCTTCTCCGCAAGCAGCTCCGAATAGTGGAAAATTTAGGCGGCGGCCTAGATTTAGCCGTTGGCAACCCGCACGGCGGCGGTGGCGGATGGAACACGGTTCAAGCGCAACTGCATTTGATGCTGAAGTTCAACTACTCCGGCGACTTCGATTTTCAAGGCGGAAGTTCCAACCCATTGCATCTTAGATCGATGTAGATGCAACAGCAAAATCAAAACCCACCTCAGCAATCTGGTTTTTCAAATATTAATATTTGGGTGGGATTGGTGAAATGACGAAAATGCCCTTCAAATTGATGGAGATATGAAAAAACCGGTGAAAAATACATTGGAAAGTCACATATGGGTAAAGTGCAACTATAACAAAATTTGGAAGGTGGAGAGTCTCATTTTTTAGTTTGTAGGGGGAAAGTGCTAAAACTAGAAATTTCTACGGGGTGAAATGCATTTTGTCCTTATTTTAATTTAGTTTTTACTGAAGGGTATATTTGTCCTTTCATCTTCGGTCAACCATTAAAATCACAATGGCTGAGTGTGCTATTGAAAAAAAATTTACAACGAACTTTTTGCTAGTTTATTTATCACACGAGGGTTTTCGCTCTTTCAAGACTACATATGGGTATTTTTTTCAGTTTACTCTATTTATTCATACATATATAATCACAAGTAGTCAAGTGTAAGGTATACAACCAGTAATGTAGGTGGTGGGGGGTATTTTGTTGGAAATAATTTGTTATTACAATATAAAATAATACTAATACAATTTATAAGTTTTGATAAAACATTATAAATATATACACTTATCTTAGCAAATTTTTATGATTAACTTTAAAAAAAAGATTGGGGGGCAAAAACAAACATTTATAAAATATTAAGTCAAAAAGTAATTTAAAAAAAATTATATTGAATTTTTTTTCTTGGAGGGGCAGCTGCCACCCCCAACAATATTAACCACATATCATGAAAGTTTCACCACAACACAAAGAGGGTTTTTCTTATGCACGGTTAACCCTTGAGAGGCATCAGTATCAACATCTTCTTCACTCATTCCTCGAGGCAATTCGAAATCGAACGAGTAAAGAAGATTGGCCAACGCCATTTCCACAGCCGCAACTCCGAGAGACAATCCCGGGCAGCTTCGCCTGCCCGACCCAAACGGAATATACCCGAAATCTCGCCCTTTAAAATCAATGATTTTTTCGTCGTTATTATTATTCAAGAACCGCTCAGGCAAGAATTCGTTCGGGCTCTCCCAATACTCTGGATCTCTACCGATGGCCCATACGTTAACGAACGTAATTGTTTTTGGTTCGATTTCGTACCCGTTTATCGTACACTTCTCCATTGTCTCCTTTGGGATCAACAATGGAAGTGGTGGGTACAATCTCATAGTTTCCTTTATGACTGCTTTGAGATAGGGCAACTTTTCGATATCGTCTTCGTTTATCGAGCTTTTCTTGTTACTTATTAGGGTTTTGATTTCTTGTTGTGCTTTCTTCATTGCACTAGGGTTCTTCATTAGAGCTGTCAGTGCCCAAACTATTGTAGATGCGCTCGTGTCCGTTCCACCGACGAAAATGTTCTGTGTGATTATCAAGAATATGAGACGAGATTAAACAATGTGATCGATGAAAAACAGTATTAATGTGTGGATCGCATAATTATTTTGGTCTCGATTGGTTACTGCTATTATTGACAAAATAGTAGAAGTTAGTAACATGTCAGCTGATTGACTAAATTCAAAACTAACTAAAGCCTGTTAATCTTGTACTAGTTAGACACGGCCACGGGCCGGTTCGGGCTGGTTCCGGGCCGGTTCAAACCGGTTCACGGTTCACATTTTCCGGAACCGGCCCGTAGTATGGACGGTTTAGCGGGCCGGGTCGGCCCGCCGGTTCGGGCCGGTTCCGGGCCTATCCGGGCCGGTTCCGGGTCGGCCCGGAAATTTTGAATTTTTTTTTTGTTTTTTTTTGAAATTATAGAAAAAATTGGGGTGTGAGGGTATTTATAGGAAAAATTAGGGGGGGTGGGGGCAAAACAAATTCAAAAAAAAGCAAAACTGGGGTGTGAGGGTATTTATAGGAAAAATTGGGGGGGAAAAAAAATTCAAAAAAAAGTGAATAACGGCCGGTTCACCGGGCCGGTTCACTAGCCGTTATTTGCTTTTTTTTTTTAATTTTTTTGAATATTTTTTTTTTTTTTTAAATCCGGGTGAACCGCCGGGCCGGCCCGGCGGTTCACGGTTCACCATTTCTAAGAACCGGGCCCGTCCCGGGGAGGACGGACCGGTTCACGGGTCCGGGCCGGTTCACTTGGTCAACGGGCCGGTTTGGGCCGTCAACGGGCCGGTTCCGGGCCCAAAACCGGCCCGTGGCCGTGTCTAGTACTAGTTGACATACACATGCCATTAATTTAGTTGGTAGCTACTTAATAGGGGAAATGATGATTTGTACTTGTCGATAACTAGTATAAATTTTGATATGATTATTGTTAAATTAGAAATGTTATTGAGAAAACACATATAATACACAGGTTTTAACATTTTAAATACTAGATCAAATTCTATTTAATTTTTTATATAAATACTAGATCTAATTCAACTAACAAAATATCTTACTAGCTAAAATAAGGGTAAATATCATTTGACACCCATGTGGTTACAATTTTTTGCAGATGACCCCTTTGTGCTCGTAATATCAGCATATAACCCCCTTATGGTTGATAAGAGTAGATTCCGTTAGTTTTTCCGTCAAAATTAACTGTGCGTGTCAAACGTCAAAATCTTATATTTTGCAAATGACCCCCTTATGCTTACATTTTTCCTTTAATTTTTGCAGATAATCCCCTTGAAGTTTGACATGCGCAAGTAAGTTTGACTAAAAAACTAACGGACACTACCTGATATTACGAGCACAAAGTGATCATCTGCAAAAACTTGTAACCACAAAGATAAGTGTTATTTACCCATAAAAGAATTAGTTAGCTAGTAGAGAATTAATCTGATTAAGTTTAATCCAATACATTCCTTTATAACTATCCAAAACGTAACTAGGACTTTACGAAAAAAGTAAATTATTATAGTTACTCGCTTAAGTTTTGGTCTTTTCATACATATGCGAAAGGTTAAATTGGTTGGTTGAAGGGGTAAATAACACTTACCCACCCCATGTTTTGAATTTTATACACATGACCTCCTGTATTTTTAATATAGCACATGACCCTCTTGTATTTTACTAGAAACACATAACCTCCTTGTACTTTCAAAAATTTCCAGTTCCTAATGAACATGATTATTTACCAAGTGGAATACCATAGGGAGGTTACGTGCTTATATTAAAAGTAAAAAAGGGTCGTGTGCACAAAGTTCAAACTACATGAGAATTATGTGCTTATATTAGAAGTACAAATGGGTCATGTGCATAAAACTCAAACCACAGGGGTTAAATGCTAATTACCCCTGGTTGACAGAACAAAAACACAAACTTTAATTGGGAAAATTACATTTTTAGTCCCTCGATTTCACATTTTGTCCCCCAAGTTCGCAAAAAAACAGATTTAATCCCTTATGTTTCAACAATTTAACATTTTTGGTCTTTTTCGTTAAGTTTTCCTTACTACTAACGGAACCAAACATGTATCCATCGCTCTCTTAATGACGGACTAACGGATAATTGACGGGAAATGACAAAAAATGTCAGATTGTTTGAAAGATGAGGGACCAAATATGTTTTTTTGTGAACGTTGAAGACCAAATGTGAAACTGGTGTCAACTTAAGGGACGGAAACCGTAATTTTCCCAACTTTAATTATAAAAACATCTTTTTGATTTAGAATACTGTTATTACCCTCGGAGTTTGTAATTGTCTAAAACAAAATAGCCCTTATTTATGGATTAGTAGCAACGGAATCTTTTCGATCCATAGCACATTTCATTGAAATAAACAATTTGTTGAGAGTTGAGACCATTTAACTCCACATGGCCAATGGATTGGATCTGATTTGTTAAGTAATAAATTATATATATATATATATATATATATATATATATATATATATATATATATTGTAATGTGTACTCAAATTAAAGTAAGGTAATAGATTAATTAAAAATACATACCATGAGTATTGCCTTGATATTGTTCCAATCAATCTTAACCGAAGCTGAAGTATCTTCCCTCAACCGGATCAAAAGATCAAGAAAATCGCCTTCCATCGACTTCGGCCTATTCGAACTAAGATGCTCTTCGATAATTTCTTCGAAAAACGAATCCATTTTCTCGAAAACCCTATCGAGTCGAGAATCGACACCCGAAAATTTATCAATCCAACCAAGTGGAGCAAAATAATCAGCCACAAACAAGTCCATGGTGGATTTTTGAAGCTCGAGCAAAAGTACGTCCAGTTGTTTTTCCTCATCGAACCTCTTCCCGAACGCAACTCTGCACAAAACGTTCACACTGTAGTACATCACCCTCTCGCTCAAGTCGACGGCCCGGCCCGAACGGGCCAGGGTCATTTTCGTAATTTCAGCGACCATGCGAGAGACCTCGCTTTCGCGAACGTCTCGAAAGGAGCGTACTTGCTTGAGTGTGAAGAGATGAAGGACGACCGTTTTCCGCATCTCCCTCCAGTACTCGTTGTAGGACGAGGACACGATGTCGAGGTGACCATACGATAATCTCTTCGAGGAAGTCGAATTCGGCCTTCCTGAAAAAACGAGGTCGTTTTGCTTTAAGGCCTGTTTGGCTACTTCGGCTGAAGAAATAACGATTAGTGGAACTTGGCCGAGTTTTAAGTACATGAGTGGGCCGTATTTGTTGGAGAGTTGAGTGAGGCATAGGTGGAGTTTCGATGTGTCTAGTTGGTGTAAGTTTCCGATGAACGGAAGCCCTTTTGGCCCCGGCGGGCGGCGGGCGGGATGCCCCGGTGACCGGTTTTTACGGATGAGGAGGAAGATGAACAAGATTGGGAGAGAGAAAATGATTAGGAAAATTAGAGTAGCCATTTAATTTTGGTAGGAGAAAATTGGAAGTGGCGTGCCATTAAAGATTATACTCGTGATATATTAGGTAGGATTTTACAAATTTTAAATACAAAAATGGCATGTGAAGGAAATAATTTATTAATCATAAGCTCGTTAATTATTAATGCATTTGACTATCCAAATAAATCATACTAGTTAGGTGGTGTTTGCAAAACTTTTACAAATAGATTATATTTTATTTTTGCTTATAATACATTTTTAAGTGTTTGCTAAATGAATTTCTGTTTTTTCTTCTCTTAAAATAAGCAAAACTTTAAATTATAATTTGTTAAGTATCCATGGCTCTGTCTTTTTTTTTTTAAATTTAAGTTTATTTTCCAGTAAATTTGCAAACATCCCCAACTTTAGAAATAACTAAGCACTTAAAACCAACTTAACACACAATCCATAACTTCTACTTTTAAATAAGCTTTTGCAAACACCACTTTAGTTACTTACCTATTTGTCGGTTTTAATGATTGAATTAAGAGGGTGTTTGACTAAGCTTATAAAATGTTAAAAGAAGCTTAATTATAAGATGTTTTAGCGCTTATAAGTTCTTCCAAAGTGTTTGGTAAATTTTTAAAAAAGATCTTATTTTTTGTAAAATAAGCTGATGGAGAAGAGGAAATAAGATCTTTTTAAAAAAATACTTCTACCTCTTTTTATTTAAGATCTGATAATGAGGGGAAATAGGAAATACGTTCATTATCCAAACACAATAAGGTGGTGTTTGCAAATGCTTTTCCAAAGTAATTATGAGTTTTTTTTTTTTTTTTTTTTGTTCAAAATCATTTTTTTAAACATTAAAAAACTCATAATCACTTTGGAAAAACGTTTGTAAACACCACCTAAAAATTAATTCTAAGAATAAGATGTAACAATTTGTCAACTCTTAAAACATTTTATCTGACGTAAGAGCTTATCAACTGTTTAAAACAAGTTTAGCCAAACCCCCTCTAAATAAGGGGAGAGTTAGATGTTACACCTGATTATTTACACTAGGTGGATTTGAATCGTAGATTTGATTAGATAACTACCCACGAAGCATACATACACATAGATGTGTGTGATTATGTGTAAATCTACAGTTCAAATCTATCCAAACCAAGTGTGGCATCTAATTTCCCTTCAAATAAGTGAGCATCGTTTTGTAGATTTCTTGTAAGGTTCTCATATATAGACTGGACAACAGTGCTTATCAACTGTTTAAAACAAGTTTAGCCAAACCCCCTCTAAATAAGGGGAGAGTTAGATGTTACACCTAATTATTTACACTAGGTGGATTTGAATCGTAGATTTGATTAGATAACTACCCACTAAGCATACATACACATAGATGTGTGTGATTATGTGTAAATCTACAGTTCAAATCTATCCAAACCAAGCGTGGCATCTAATTTCCCTTCAAATAAGTGAGCATCGTTTTGTAGATTTCTTGTAAGGTTCTCATATATAGGCTGGACAACAGTGATAAAAGAAAAGAAGAAGAAAAATTCAGATCGGACAACCTAACCGGTTCGGTTCATCACCAAAACTCACGGTTAATAATCAAAAACTCCGTTCGATCGGCAAGAAACATTAAAATCATAAATTAAATCAATTCTGGAAAAAAATAAATTACTGGTCAACGAACCAAAATTAAATTTGAACAAAAAAATGATTGTTCAATTAGAGCTAGCCCATCAAGCTTAAGTAGGCCAAGGAAGCAACCAGCCCGTTATCCTTCCACTGTAAGGGGCTGAAGGTTATCGTTGCTCTGTGAAGCCAGCCTTGCGCGGTGCCCTTCGATTTAGGGACCACGTGGCCCGAGCTTTAGCCCGAACCACATAGCCCAACTCCACACTTGGAATGGGCAGGCCAGCAATTAGCCACCTACGGCCCGACTGGATGAGCTAGGTCAATGTTCAACCACTTCAAAGCCCCCACTTGGGTTACAAGCCCACGTTACATGGCTCGGCGAAATAGATATCCTAAGTGAAAAATTATATACAAGTTGCAATATTGTCTTTCTACCAATGTGGGATGAGAAAATTGAAGTTTTCTTCAAAAATTACAAGAAAATTAAAATTAACACAAATAGTTCTTAATAAATGTAAACTCTTGCGATTTTACGTTTCCGATTTTACTACCTATCTCCAATTCAACTTATAATCCCGATTTTTGACTACCTTGTCTCTATTCAAGAGACGATCACCGACGTTTGTTGAGAGTAACTTTTCGAACACCAAGTTAAACAGCATTTTGTTTGTCCATGGAGAAGGTCATATATAACATCTCTCGTATCATATGGACTAGCAGCGGCGTTTTAGAAACGGGTTCGATTTTGTTGACTGTGTGAACGTGATATTGACTAGGTTCCACCCCGTAACAAACCGCCGTTGCTTGGAGAAAGCACGTCGGTAGAATGAATAAACATAAACGAGTACTTTTGTTTCGGATACGATTACGAACTCATGTTGTACGATTGTCTGGTTATAGAATATATATAATTACCTTATTAATGTATTCATCAGTTCTGTGTGATCTGTTTGTGGCTTGAATGTATCAATTGACCTTCCTATTATCAAATGATGAGTAAATTGCAAAAACTACCATTGTATTTGTTATCATGTGTTATAACAATTAGCAAAAATCCCCCTATATATTTTTTTAGTCATTGACCGAAAATAAAAGACAAATATACCCTTCAATTAATAACATAAAATTAGAATTAATATATTTATTAGAGGTCAAATTGCAATTTACTGAACGTCTAAAACTTAAATTAGGGGACTGAAATGTAATTTTCCCAAACATTATTAAACCTAGGTTGAAACACACACTACGCACACCATCACCGCCAACCTTCTGAAACTCCAATCCGCCACCAACCTCTCCGCCACCAACCAATCATCAATCACTAATCGTCTAAAAACTTCACAAAAGGCGCCGTAACCTTCTTCATGAAATCCACCGCCGCCACTGCTGAAAATACATACCTCCAACAAAGTCCACCGCCGGCGATCTCGTTAGAGAGGAAACCATACAACAATGACAAAATAAATCGAAAGAAAAATGGAAGTTCTAAGTTTTGTGAGGCGCGCAATTGGTAAGGGTAGTCAGAGAGAGAAGCCCGTTTAAGAGAACCATGATTTTCCGGTGAGGGGGATTCTACCTGATGATGCTAAAGTTAGATCATTTTAGAGAGTTGGAGTAGGATAAGCTGGAAGAGCAGAGTGGATCATTGGCTTACGAGCTTGATGACCTTGAGAGACCTGCGATAATAAAACACGTAAATTAAGTCAGGGGTTGATCCGGCGGAAACTCCTCAGACGCTCAAGTCAGACGTGCGGATAATAGGAAATAGTCCAAAGAATACATGTCGTAGTATTGCTTAGATAATGGATGTACATTAAGGAATGAGTTCAAACCTTTATTTATATCTCATTGATTGAGCTGAAGTTTAATTAGTTGACATTGTCGGGTCAAAACCTTATTTGTAGGTGATTGGGCCTCGGTAGTAGTGGTCTTCAATATTGGGCTCGTGGCCTAGCTAGTAGGTAAAGAAATTGTAGGCCTATTGGGTTGACTCAATTAGGCATATCACTACCCGAACGCCACCCTCAACGTGGCCTCACCTACTTCGCCTCCGCCGACGAGCTCCAAACGATCATCTCCGTTGTTTGAATCCACGTGACGGTGAAAGCATTTTTTATTTTTTTTCAAAGGTTCTGGATTTTTTTTTTCCCCGAGGGGCGGGGTTGAGAGGGTTAGTGAGAAAGAAGATAATCACGATTTTTAGATTTTGATTGCTATTTGGTCCTTTGAATTTGAATTATTTATAATTACACTAAATTTAACATACATTTATCATTTATGTATAAAAGGGTGTTTATTTCATTTTACCCCAAAACTAACAAAAAGACCCGCACAACCCGCGCGTGAGTACCACGATCAGCTCCAAGGGACTTTTTTGCTTCTAACTTTTAATCAAGGGGGGGTTGCTTTTTTTATAACACATAGATTTTTTTAGCGATTCAGGATTATACAGGGTGGTGTTTGCAATTTACTCATCAAATGATCAATGAATAAGTAATGGGAAAAATACAGTTTCATCCCACAAATTTGCACCAATTTCACATTTAGCCCCACATGTTAAAAAAAACATATTTGATCCATCATGTTTCAAACATTTAAAACTTTTAGTTATTTCCATCAATTTTCCGTTAGGAATAACAGAATCAAGCGTGTGCACATCACTGCCTTAACTGACGGACCCACGATAGATTGGCGAAATGTTCAAAAGTTAAATTATTGAAACATGAGGGACCAAATGTGTTTTTCGTGAACATGGGGAACCAAATGTGAAATCGGTGCAAACTCGAGAGGTGAAAACTGTAATTCTCCCAATAACTAATTAACTAGATCCAGTTTTGGTTTTGCTGAACCGTTCGGTTTAGTTAATTTTGATTTATTGCATTTTATACCACTGTATTTACTCTTATAATTGGACAAACCACCATATTAATTTTAATAGCAAAAACCCCCTAGTACTATTGTTTTTCTTTTAAATAATTATATTTAATTAGGAACCACACATTATATCAAACAAAAAGTTTTATAAATTAGTCAAAACTCAAAGCATCAAATATGTTAAAGAAAGAAAATGCATTACTAACATTAAACACTATGAAAAGAAAATTGTAAAACATCTTTCATTTATTAGAATAATTGCAACACAAATATAAGAATTATTACCAACTATACTTTTTAAACGGGAATGTCGGAGGGAAATCACCGGAGAAATAGATACCATCAAGCCGCGCTTCCCAATAGCACACGTCCGTCAGACACTCACCACGGTCACTCGATCGATAAACATCAAAAGATACACTTTTCGAGCCCCAAGTGATACGACAAAAAAACAAAGTCCTGTGAAGAAAACCCTCGCATAAAGACCAATTAAAATCGTCGTTATAATAAAGTGTGTGGTTTCCGAGTTCCTTATCTCCAGACGCACAATGCGCGAACATCGGACCGGCGTCTGGGCGGATTTTATTCACAACGTGAACAATATACTCGGTCCTAGGAAAGCAACTCCGACCCATTGTTCCGAGAAAAAAAGTTGATAGAATGAGAAAGCACAAAAGGTTCTTCATTTTG